CGATTTTTCTTTTGCAGTGGAGTTAATAGTGGCTTTTCTTTGGCCTATAAACAAGATGTGCAACTTTAGGGTTTTTACTTCACTTTTTTTTATGAGAAAACTTACCTTGCAAGTGCTAAATCCCAGTTTGTGGGCTTCTCTATGTGTTGTGGACCTCGAAATTCTTCTTCTAACAGCGTCACTCCACAGAGCACTTAATTGTAAATAATTGGCACGCCTGTTTTTCACGATTATTCTTCTTAATGCTCTTCGGTCGGCATTTGTGATATTACTTTTTTTCACATATCGTGGCTTAATATTAACTGAACCAGTTACCGTTATATGTTCTAACAATATTTCTCAAACTGTACCGCGATAAGTCTAACAAAGTTGCAATTTCTGAGTTTGATTTCCCAGAATTAAAAAATTTAATTATCAGTAACCAAATTTTCTCACTAATCTTTCCTCTACCCATTTTGAAAACGTTAACTACCCAAAACTATTTTAAACGTATTCTGTCAGCTGTGATTAATAAAAACAATTGTCATGGCTTTTATTTTTCACAGCCACCTATGCGTTATAGACTTATTTCGCATTGAAATGAAAATAGGTTGATATGCTGTAATTTCAACATGTGTTATTTTTATGCTACAAGTTTGATTAGGGAGTGATAAAGTTGGTGTTTTCTACTATATATTATCAAAATATTCATTGTTAATATTTTAAACCTATAACACCCTGCTACATTTTTATTATTTGTGTTTGATAAGAAAAAAACTAAGATTTCAATAGTTGGGCCAAGTGAAGTGAGAAGGGGCTCGTACGTGAATCTTACGACTACAAAATAACAGAGTGGATAATGTGCAATCAGGTAAAATACCGATAAAATCCTTATAGTAAAAAAACTATTCAAACTGAACCTGAGAAGAAAAACAGAAAGATTTAAAAGTCTGGATTCTGTCGGGACAATAATTTTGCAAAATAGATTCCCATTTCATTTCAAATATTTCATTACTGATTTTTGTAATATGATTATTTCTATCGTTAGCTTTTTGGTACTGCTTATTGCGCTACCTATTTGAAAGAATAATTGTGTATCACTGTTTATAAGAAAAACACTATTTTCTGGAAAAAGAGTACTGGTACAAAATATAAGTCGTTAGTTACACAAAAATTAAAAGATTTAGGGTATTCCTATTCAGACTGACAATGACCTGTATCACCTGTATCATCATTCCCTCATAGACGTTTAAAACAAGTGAGCGAGCACGAAGGCCAAGAACCGGAGATAATGACTGTCTCGCTAGTACGTATTGTAGAGGTACGGTTTCAAATTTCAGAGAATCAGCCGTTGGTAACAATTCTCTGAAATGCTGTTCAGGTATCAGATCACTCGTTTGCTTTTCAAATCACTGAACTATCTGGTAAAAATAGTGGAAGGCAGTTGAGCTACCTATACGAAATACAGTTAGATTATCGCATTGCTAGTAGCAAACCAAGAAAATAATTAATTTGAAAAGTTGAGAAAATTGACTAGTAGTACTTTCTGGACATTTATGATTTTTATAGTAAAGAGAATGTGTATTCATGTTCGTCGGGCGTGAATGTCAAGGCAAGGATGAGCTTGCATCAAGCGAGTGAAAAATATAGTTCAAGTTTCAACTTGCATGACAAGAAGGTATACAGATAATTTTTCCGATTAATTTCAAGTAAAACCTAATCTCAGGTTATGAGGTGGCACTAACACATTTTTTAAGATGTTGCACTGCTCGAAACCTTGATAGTACGCTCGTCCAAATTCCGAAGAAAAAACAGAAAATCTATTATAATTAATTTCAGGTAAGGCTTCCTGAAATGAGTTTCGAATATAGTCTTATTCCGTCCTAGCCAACCGAAAGTAAATTTTACTAGCTCTTCCTAGAAAATATGTAGGAATATTCAGGTAATAATTTCGATATGCAAGAAGATTTAGTACCTTTTGGTATATCTCCATATTAATTCGTATAAGCTTCCAAAACTAAGTGCTGAAAATATGACAGGTATTTGGGTATTTATCAACAAATTTAGAAATTTCATTTTGCATTTCTTAAAAAAAAAGAAAATATATCCTTTTTTTGTAGAAATATAAAGTTTTACTTTAGTGAGGTTCATTGAAAATGAAGGTCCTCCATATCTTTGTGTATAACATGTAGAAAAATGACTTTTACAAAATGAGGGACTGACTTATAAGATGGGGGAATGAGTTTTACAACAATTTGAAGCTACATTTCAATAAAAAACATAAGTTAATTTATTAATAGATGTATTGAGACTTGTTTTATACTTTAGAGAGTTTAGATAGTCGTTCTTCCCTGGGCACATCCTCTTATTTTCATCCTTCTCTGAGAAATGAACAACATCATCCTTAACTTTCAGCATTTTGGAGCTATCTTTACGAGTACAGTTGTACGTATCGTTTTTGAAAAAATGTTTCGATCTATATAGCAATTTGTATCTTTTGTACCAATTGCAGCTTCAAGATTTTGTAATTTTTTTTCTTTACTCCATGTTCACTTCCAAGATCTTCATAGATATTCTTAAGGTCCGTGGTCAGTGCTTCTCCGAAAATGAGTCTTTTTCTTACAACGTCAGGAACTTGTATATTCTTTAAAGGCGAAGACATTTTAGTTGCTCGAGAGTTTGGGTCAGTATTTTTAGTTTTCAATCTCAAACACCTCTTCTTATATTTTTCGCTAAGCTTGACTGTGTTCCTTACTTTATTTTCCAAACGTTTAATCTTCGCGTACATAATAGTTCGCCGTTTGTGCATTCTACGTCTATTGAGAGCAGACAAATTCTCTGCTCTGTGCTGTATAGATGGTGCAGGACGTGGTGGGGGTGTTTCTTCAACTATTCTCTGTAAACTTGTTTGTAATGTAACTCGCATTACCCTATAAACTTTACTATTCTTTTTCTATGGTTTTCGTTTTTGGCTAGTTTCTCTTACACTCATAGAACTTATTGACTTAACTTGACTTCTTCTTTAAGTACTTTAATCTTTCTTTTTCACGCAAAGCTTCTAAAGACTCAGCATTAATTTTAATTTGTTCTCGCCCCTTTCTGTCGTATTCCTTTTTTAATTTATTTTCTTCTTCACTTAACTTTATTTTCTCCATTCTTGATATACGGATATCTGTTAAACAATAACACCCAAACCGCAATTTTATATATGCAAAAATCATTCCCTCATATAATTTTCATTCCATGACCGTGAGGGAATGACGGATTTGCATAAACAACACCGTAACCAACAGTACATCACCTCAAATTGATTTAGCATTTTGTGAATGCATTTTAATCCCCAAAACAAGAAAAAAAGCATTAAACATTCGAACAGTATAATGACTTACCTTTTAATATAGACAGTGAGGTAATGACACAGAGAAATGTACTGTTCTAATTATTGAAATCCAATACTATTTTGCAGCAACTCTTTTCACTGTTAAGAAATTCCGCCATGTTGACATTATTAGCAGTATTGCCAAAGTTTAAAAACATAACAGCTGCATTCAAAAATATCAAATCGAATATTTATAATGAGTGAGGGAATGATTTCATTTCAAGGGACATAGTTTAAATAGATTTTTTTATATGCATATTAATTTTTTAGCAATGAAAGCTTGACTATACAATACATACTTATTACTGAATATTTTAGTAATATTCAATTTATAAGAATATGAACAGATTTGATTGTATATATTTTTTTATTATTAATTTCAGACCCAGGGACGAGATGAGGGAATGACTTTTAGACTAATAAATTAATCGTATTATTTTGTGTCAATATATTATCTAAATTTTGTCTTTCAAAATATTAGTGTAGATACTTATTGATATAATAAAAATGTTAAATTGATGATAAATCCATGCAACTTAGCATCAATGGCTCAGGTCATGAATTTCGAAATTTGCTGAGAAATACCCATGTATGTGTGTATTTATTAGTGTGAGTATGATCTTTGTAACAAAATGTAATGTAACATTCGCGTCATGTAAATGAAATGAATCAAGAATTAGAAAATATTTTAGGTCACTTTTTCACTATATGGTAACTTTTCTCGGTATTTAACGACTACACACTTTTGTCAGACTGGAAACAAACAAAGATAAAGTCATAAGTTTTTAAATTCGTCGAAAGCCATCCAATGTCTATTTACTACGTTTGTAGGCATTCATCAGTTTTCTTGTTGAATATTCCAAAAATTCGTTAAAAGGATTATCTTCAAACATGGAAAATATCTAATACTCTTACGAAATATATGGGAAAACGCCAACACCGAGCCAAATATATTTGAAAAACAAGACGTTGGATCTTCCTCATATTTTAAGGTAACGTTCTAATGCCCTTCAAGTTTCATATAATTGGTTTTTTACGCATTCCTATAAATTTGTTTCTGACGAAAATTAAAATAATAGAAGAAGATATTTGTTTCTTACAAGAGGCGATACCCATATTGAGGAGAGTTGATAAATAATATATAACGCACTATTTTGTGGCGGCGGCTATTTTGGATCTACAAAGATACTGAAAATATGTAATTGTATTGTTTTCAAAACTAAAGACGTGTACCAAATATCAAATCAACCATTCAAGAGGAATAAGGTAAAAAAAATTATTCAACAGATTTGGTGCACACAAAGCAAGCTAAATAAAATCGTCAAAGATCGCTTAGGCACAAATGGCATTGCTTTTAAAGACTTATTTATGTTAGTGAACTCTGATTTTTTGCAACTGTCGTACAGATAGCCATGTTTACAAAATGGGTAATTTATATGATTCATTTACTGAAACTCGATTATGATAGTTAAGGAAATTTATTATTAAAAATCGATTATAAGGAAAAAATAATCGATTATTTTTGGAGCATTTCTCCATAAACTTCACCGTAGAAAGGAAACCCATTGCGCCGCCTTTGACCGATGACGTCAGCCCACGCTTCGATCGCCAAATTGTATCGGCAACGTCGCTTTGTTTCCTTCTTCCGTCAACGCTGCGCGTCAGCCATTTCTATTTCGTTCCCGTGTGTTGCAGAGCTAAGTCCGGCATTATTTTTCCCAGAGCTGTTGTGCAGAGTAAATATTAGGAAGTTGCAAGTGTCACTGGTGTAAATTCCCCGAGGAGAAAAAGGCGAAGTTAATCGACGCCTCAAGTGCGCATTCTGGTGTTGTAGATGCGATGTCGTCCATAGGTAAAATCTTTGAACCTATAATAATGGCGGCCGGCTAAAATCGTTAAAGCCGGACGCTAGTACGGAATGAAACCCGGTACAGCTGTATTTTTACATTTTTATGCCTACGTTTCCGGAAATACGCATTTTAACATGCATTCAACGTATCGTAGCTGATTTGAAAGTATATTGGCAGCCTCAGGCTGTAGTGTATTGACCTTTCCGCTGGCAGGTTCATGTTTTCATCATATACAATTTTGGGGCCCCACACCCTAAATTAGGCTATCAAGGTACACCATTGACTATACGTCTAGTATACCAATTGATGTATTATTATGGTTTGTTTCTTTGAGACAAACCATATCCTACCTAGCAATCCAGATAACTTTTGACTAAATACAAATAATATGTCTGTTGTACACATGATAACTTATTTGTTTGTGTACAGTAGCATATTAACATTGGATCAGTTTCATTTTCGTGCATAGGACGACATGCCTATTTCCCCATTCACCCAATATTCCAATAGATCTCGGCAGTATGCGATCTGCTACTAGATCCTTCCTCAGTCTTCAGATATCAGGTGTGTAATCACCTAGTGATTAATTATTGTTGATTTGATGTGTGAGGGTGAATCGGTTCCATAACATCTACAAGATTATTTGTAGGTGTGAACAGTTTCACAGTTTGATAATGCAGTATGATTTTGTTGAGATACTAGATTTACATCTGTGAATCTATTCATGTCTCATTGTATGTTGTATGTATGAATGTTGCAGACTGTGGATGTGATAATTTTTACAAATAAACAGTATTTTGGTGTTTCTTTCATTCTTAGATCATTGGGTTTCTATTATGTAGATAAAAACTCACTGAAGAGTTTTAGCAATCAGAAGTAAGTTCTGTGTAAGTAAAGTTGTTTGATATTTATTCTAAATGAATCATTCAGTAAATGTAAAGTGGTCCAATGATGCAATGCTTTAATGTTGTATAGCAGTAGCCTTGGAACAGCTTTGACAGTTATTTAATAAACAGGCTAACAAATCTGAGAGCCAAGTGAAAGCTGTACATAAACTGACAAAGCTAACCCATGGTTACTGCTATTAAACACAAAAGTGCTGCACCACTGGACCACTTTATGTTGGCTGAAGACACTCGATAACTTTACCTGTTTTATTGATTGCCAGAAGTTTTTAGGAAAATTTATCCATTCTAAGGTGTAACATTTATCATTAATAAAACCCAAAATGAAAACTGGAATTCTGACTATAATGTATGTTACAAATATTTTACTGCAAAGATAATTTTTAAATGAGCAATTAAACATAGCTAAAACTAGAAAATTTTTGCTGCAAATTTTATGAAATATGAATTTATCAAGCTTCTGAGTTAGGAGAGGGGGAAGAGCTTAAATACCATAAAAATAGAAATATGCTATCTCCCTGCCATGTATATGTCAGGATTAGAGGACTATACCATTGTCATAAGCCAGAAGATAGTATCTGCTAATTTCACATTTTCCAGGAGCAGTGAGAACATGTAATCCTTCTCAAACTGTAATGTTTTAAGGGAAAATAATGCTTTTGGTTTGTATCCAGTTGAAATTGAAAATGTTTTCTGATTAGTTAATAAATTTCACAGAGGATGCCTATCTATAAACAAAAAAGCATATAGTAACCTCAAAGTTGTCTGAACTGCTGCTCTTAATCACACATTCAGTATATAATCCATAGTATACGAAATCTATACAAATGTTTAACAGTATCCTTACAAAAATAATAAATGACTGATGAAAAGTAATTAAAAATATCATGAATTCCCTTGATGTATACTGTATTTTATCATCTAGCTGCCTTTCATATTATAATGACATCTCATTTTCGCATTTTTTGCTCTTACTGCCTTCTGGCTTATGAGGCTATGAACAAACTAGAAAAAAATCGATTTATTTTTTATTTTTGGCTAAATATTTCAAAGGAAACAAAAATGTTTATTTATTATATTTCATTATTATTTTAATATTTATGTTCATAAATCAGTTGGCTCACCTTTGTAAAATATATATAATTGGAAATGTGGGGAAGTACATAGATTTTCTTTTTGTATCTGCTAGCAAGGAAGGAATTTCAAGCTATTGTTTTTAATGATTTTTATTCAAAAATATAAGATGATATAGTTTTGTTTATACAGGGTGGTTCATTGGAAGAGGGAGATATTTTCACTGGGTAATTATAAAATAACCTATGATTGATGGTCCTTTAGCCTCTTTTAATCAAACATACATACATCAATTTTGGCAGTGTATTAATTGCCTCATAGCTTTGACCACCTGTTATATTTCAGTGAAAATAGTGGTTACAAAATTATGCGACTATAAAGAAATGTCCTCATTTATAAGAGGCTACAGGCCCATCAACCATAGGTTATTTATTATCACCACAGTGGTCTCTCTATCCACAGTTCAAATATCTCAATCTCGCTATAATATCTTCCAGAATAGATTTGATCTGTATCAAAGTATATACTTGTCATCTTCTGTTTACAATGAGCGTCTATCAAAAGGTCATTCCAAATGGTGTCAGATTAAGCACAGCTACAAAGGTAAGTTCGTCACCTTTAAGCTGCTTGAGTGACTGCAGCTATAGATATCATGAGGTGTCATTTATAAACCCGTGGTAAAGTCTGTCTTTCCATTCATTCATATGATTTGATTTACTATGAGGTTTTTTTGATGAGAGAAAGCTAAAAGTTATAGAGAGAATTGTTTGTTATACATGCACTCTTATATCTAGAAAATATTTTTTATATGTGGATGTTCAACAAAATCATGACAGGTTTTTTTTTTTCTTCAATAGAAAATGTAGAGTTGATGTCAGCATGAAATTATGTGTATGTATTTAAAAACTATTCACATAATTTTGTTGATTCCCAGTATTTCAAAAACAGTTGATACTATGATTCTGTTGAACAAAAATATTCTCACAATTTTTTTATTCCAATTGTTTATAAACTAACAACAAGGATACAAAGACATGGTTTAAGTTTAAAAAATCATCGCGGCCTTTCAACAAAAGTGTGGATGCATCGGCAATGTTGAAGTAGATAAAAAATACGGTGTTGGGGTAAAAGAGTGTTTATTTCTTAAATTTTTGATCATCTGTACATAATTTGATAGGGTTTTCAAAATTCTTTAAAGGTGCCTAACTAAATTTTGTACAAGTTAAAATTTGAAGTCTTCCAAATTATTTTGTTTATTGTTTTAGAGATGACACTGTTTTATACGTCGACCTTCATATTTTAATTTCCCTTTATTACTGTTGGGCTTTTGGTACAGAAAATTATTAATGTTTTTATTTTTGTAATGAATAAATCGTAGCCAACAAAAAATGACAATTGGCAAAAACCCACATTGTCCAAAATTGAGAACAGTGGAATAATGTAATTTTATAGCCACCTAGGAGAACTACGATTAAAATCTGACTCTAACGTTATGAAACTGTCAAAAACCGTAGTCCTAGCCAATTAATAAAATTACGTAATCTACTAAAATTTATGATGATATTGGCTAAAGTGTTAATGCAAACCTGATATTTTTGGTTCTCATCTTCCCAGTTTCAATTCGAAATTTATTTGTTTTGTGCATTCTGAAATATGCAAGTATCTATCACAACAGAGGCAGTGAATGGGTAAAAAGGATTTGCCAAATTGATATTCATCAGATAAGGTGGATAAAAAACATCCATTTTCGCTTACTCTGAGGATTAAGGTGATTGTTACACGATCAGTATTTACTGTGATCCGTCAGTATTTACCATAGAATTGATGATTGAACGTATTAGCAGAAACTTTAGTAATTATTGATGTATAGGAATATCTAGAAATTCATTGACACTAAATAATCAGCAAATATTCATGGCGGTCATGTTACACTCACCTAAAAGGTTCGAATCTACAGAACAGTAACTATTCTAGAGAATGGAATCAAAAAATGCGTTTCTTGTTTCTCCTGTAAACAATTCTTTAATATGGAAATATGGCGGATGACAACTGCGTATGTTTGGAAGATGAGGTTTATTACGAAATTCGGCTGGTCCGCCACTTTCAAATTATGTTATGGAAAATAACCCAAATTTTATAACGCCGATTTCAACTGAAGTTGCGGAAAGCGGAAATGTTAATAATGACTGATCCAATACTTACGGGGTTTGTTAAGAGCGACAATGATAACAGGATAAGAAGACGTCCACGAACAAAATTCTAAAAATACTAATCGTTCAATATTCGACTTTATTAAACTTACTGGCTAGCATACTTCATATTAGGACAGTATTTAAGGTTGTTTATTAAATGGTTACGTAATACGTTTACTCTGAACAGTTAATTATGGAAAGCGTCAATACACTGAAGTTTCCATCGTATGTATGTGTAAGTTAAGTCTAATGGGTCAAAAGATTTTTAGATCCGACAATTTTAAATCTGTTTTACTGGAATAGTCACAGTATGTGTAATGTAGAAATTTTGCCGATAAAACTATGTATCAGTTTAATACAATTAGAAAAATTGTAGTTTGATTCGCTAGTAACTGAAATACGGAATAGCTGGAAACGTTGAAGATGATCTGTAACATTGAGCATTATGTGAAGTTCAATGTAGGCACTTCTAAATACTTCTGCTATATAAGGGGATTATTGAAGAGCTTATGCGACCAGGTAATATTTTGACACTGTTGGCATATACGCATGCGCAGTTTGTGTCGCTATTACTGCTGGCACTGAAAATAGCGGCTGCCTCTAATTTGGGAGGAATAAATACTGGCAATGCCAAGTCGTTATTATAAGTTCTTGACAACTTTGACATTCCTTACGGGTGGCAAGACTTAAATCATTTTTTAAGTTGATGGTTGTGTTTTGGATTGCCCTTGTTTTTTTATTCTATTTCTTATCTTCCCAAGCGATTTTCAGTTCCAAACAACGACATCATGCGACGCTTAGGGCAGTGAAATCAGCAAATGTATTTTTACAACACAAATGTGGTAGGCACAGTCGTCAAAATATTACCTAGCCTTATCAATGCCTGGCCTTATGGAATGGTTCAATAATAAAATAAGTTCTTTTTTTTACTGCTAAATTGAGAAATCACAATTACTTACAGGAATGCCCTAAAACAATTGGGTAAATTCATTTAAAATTTTATCCTGTCAGTTTGATAACCGAAGTTAATATTTCAAAATATTTGAAAACAATTGAGAAATAAATAAATGTTAATTGAGTATAGCTCATATTGCATGCTCAATCAATGACAGATTTGAAAACTGCTTTGAAAGTTAATAAAAGGAAAACATTTGTACCTTACTCCCCTTGAAAGGACTAGCCAAAACCAAATCGGCTCTTTATTGCTCGGCATTCAGTGATTTGAGCTTTTCAGTTTGACACCAGGCAAATGGATATTTTAAAATACATATTTGTTAGTAGTGGAAAAAATTCTATACATACCTCGTTTAAGAAAGCCATTATTGGTTCTAGCATATTATATCCTTCGATTCTCCGCGTCTCAGGTTATATAACAGTGCTCTCCCCATAATGGCTCATTTCTCAAACTAGAGATGTAATGTAATTTTTTCTAGCGATTATGCGTTTTAGTATAAACTCGCACTTGCCAAAAAAATAACGATAAACCAACAAATTACTGATAATTAATAATCACCATACATCGTTGGCTTTTTATATTAAGTTTTATCAATGAAAATTCATAATATCGGAAACTTAATTTTGAGACATGTGAATCAAAATGCACCTCTGTTAGACCATGTGATTGTACATTTTTCATTTTGAACTTGAAATTTTTGCATTCTGTGGGTGTTTTGTAAACACTAAAATCGTTTTCATAGTTCTCATTCTCAGCAGCTTTGTAACTGTGTAGTCTCAGCAACCACCATTTTTAAAAAAAATTGACATGTGGCCAGTATTAGTAAAGTTTAAAAAAACGGTTGATTGAATGATTGAAAGTGGAGTAATATTTGTTTCTAAAGGAACAGAATGACTTAATCTTTTAATATAACAGACATGCATTTATCTTAATCGTCTCTTGACTTGGTGATTTTATGTATAGGCTAAAAACAAACGTTTTTCATCTTTGAGCACACAACATGAAAATAGACTCAAATATAGCGAGATGAGTATAGTGCCGACGGACATTTTCTTTTAAAATTGTGGTCTTTCAAACATTTCATATTAAAAAATCAGATGCTGACTGTGAAATGTTGTAATACATCGCATTTACCCCCAAAAAGGTCCAAGTCAGTGATAGACGCTCATTGTGTAGACTTTTCTAGCATAAACTTAAAGGTCATGACAACAAATATAGCTTTAGCGTTTGTTTCCTTCCAGAACAAAAAAGTGAGGACTGCGAAATGGCAGATCTGAACGAAATCGAAGAGGTGCTGTTGAGCGGTGAGCCGAGTACAAACGGTGTCAAGAGGTCCGAAACGGAGATCGACCCGGAGTTGCTGAAACTCCTTGGGGATGAGCCCCTTGGCAAGGAGCCAGAGTTCGGCCCAGAAGTCGACCCCCAGATTGCAGAGAGATGGGCCGAGTACCTGACAGCTGGCCCCGCAGCAAGAGACGATAAGGACGAGCTCACCAGGAAGTACCTCATCCCGAAGAACATCCCTCATTTGAAACCACCGGCGTTGAACTCTGAATTGGAGATCTTACTCCCAACTGGCGCTAAGAAAGAAGACCGCTATAAGTGTAACATCCAAGCCAGTATGGGTGTGGCCCTTGCTGCGCTGGCTACTACTATAGATACGCTGCTCAAGAGTGACTTGCCCGCTGATGAAATGAAAAAGCAGATACTACCGAACGTCGTGGATGCAAGCAAGATTCTTTGTGGTTCTTATCGTATGATGACTATCAACAGGAAGTACGCCGTGGAGGTCCACATGGACAAATCCCTCAAGCAAGTGATCAAGGAGTGCAGGAATGACGTTCAGTACTTATGCGGACCCAACCTCGGCTTGGCGCTCAATGTGAAGAAACTTCCAAATAGAAGAAACAGGAACAAGCCGGCAAAAGCCGAGGTGAAGACTGAAGCCAATACTTCTACTACTGATCTGTCAATGACCGATGTAAGCCAAACTGCCGAAGATGCTGATGGTAGCATTGCCGAAACACCCGCGGAAAGTACTGGCGCTGAAGAAGAGGAAAAGAGTGCTGGAAACGATGACTCGGAGATGACCAAACTCCTCGGAGATGACGCTGCTAAATCCCAAGGGCCAGCTGAGGGTCCAGAGGTGCATACGGCCATCGCCAGCAGATGGGTGAAGTTCTTGACCCGTGGTGTTGAGAGAAAGGACTTGGAGCCATTGAACAAGAAATATCTGATTCCTAAGAATATCCCTGAGTTGAGAGCCCCCAAGCTAAATCCTCAGCTGAAACCAAAGTTGAGTGAGCAATTGAAGAGAGAAGATAGGTATTTGGCCATGATCCAGTCTGGACTAGGAGTAGGTCTCACTGCAATCGCCGAAACAATCGATCAAGTATTGAGGAATGAAGTGAGTGCAGCGGAAGTGAAAACTTCCCTTTTGCCACGTATCGTTGACGCAGGCAAAATAATGTGCGGCTCCTTCAGCGCAATAACCACTAACAGAAAGTACCATATTGAAACCAGGCTGGACAGACCATACAGGACCCTGGTGAAAGAGAGCGTACCAGATGAATGGCTCTGTGGAAAAGACTTTGCAACGAAAGTCACTATTGTCGAGAGTCAGTTGGACTCATTCAAACAGCTGAAAAAATCCGATTCGGTAGGAGGGAATCAGGCGAAAAGACCAGCCACCGGAGGTGCGCAAAGGTCGGCGGCTACAAAATCTACAATTGCCACAGCAGCCAAAGGCGCTAGCGGAGCCGCGCAGGCTGCTAGGAAACGGTGGAAGTCCAGGAGTGGCCCAAGAGCTGATTGGGGCAACCAAGGCGGCCAAGGTGTCAAGCGCAAGTCCAGTGATTGGCACAGCAGGCCAAATAATTACAGCGAGTGGGCTGCCAGACAACCACCACCGTTGATGTCTACCCGTCCGGCTTGGAATCCATGGATGTAGACTTTCAAACTGAAGTATTACTGGTTATTGCAACTTTGACGTCATTTATACGTCAAGTGAATATTCGTTTGGTTTCATTTAACTTGTGGATTTTGTTTCACTTTGTCTTATGGTATAAAAAGCTATAGTTTGTCGATATATGTTGTATTAATCATTATGTTGATTTCGCTAAAAAAATGTTCCAATATTTGTTCATTATCCAGTAATAATTGTGTCATTTGTATTGAAGTTTGAGAGTATACAAAGCAGTATTGGCATTCCAAAGTATCATACCCTACAAAGTTACTCGGTTATCTCTAATATTAAATATGTGGTTTACTTCATGTACAGAATATCTCGGAAGGTATCTATTTCTGTTGGATTTTTTTACACATACGCTCTCATTAAAACAATTCATTATTTGTTTATGAAAATTTTGTAGACTTGAGGTTTAATGAAAGCAGTAAGGTAATAATTACAATAAAAATTTTATAGAACACGTTCATCAGGTGTTAAAAATTTGAAAAGCCTTAGCTATTAATACTTTTTTTATTAATTAACTCGTATTCTGTAAATGTGTATTTTTATTATTGAAATAAATCTAGGTTATTTCACTAAATTGTTTTTTTCATTCAGAACCATAAACCAAAAAACATTTAGGTAATTGTGGCACAGATTAGAATTAAATTCTAAAACGTCCAGCTCCAACTAAGGTTTACACTACAGCATTGTCAAAAAACAAAAGATGGCCACGCAACCTGTTGTCAAGAGTACACGAAGCTGATCGACGAAGTATCTCCCTTTTTCAAATTTTGAGTTTATTTTCCAAGTGAAGGTATAAATCAAATGCTAATTTCCTCAGAAATCTGAACGGACCCATCAAAAAAAAATAAAATTGGGTATTTCACGAATAACTCGGAAAATCAAGTTACAAACGATCGATACTTGGCACACAAGGAGTGTAAGAATATGGGATTTCTGATCTACGCACCCCATTTCTCTAAGATACTTTTGGTGGAGATAAAGTTGGGTAACAATTTTGAAAAATGTCCATCGATAATACTCTTTGAAACATTCAAAGTTTCTTAAGCCTACTGCAACACGCGGAATAAACTCTGTGCATTGGGATAAAGATTTAGCGTATGGCCAAGTCCTATTTTGTATTTTTCTGATTTTTCGTGATCAGCCTCGATTTCTCGAGAGAGGTGATAAGTCTCATTCTCATCAATAGGCTGAACATGTTCAATAATATTCCTTGAATGTTTCTCAAGGCACAGTTTCCATTTTTGTCACTCGTTACTACAACATAGAAGAAACAGATACAGCGGGTTAGCTTGGGTACTGCTATCAGATAATGTTGTCGCGAAGCCCTAATTGGAACTAGAAAGAGGGATTTTTAGAACCTCCCATAGATCTCGGAGAAAAATTAATATTAGATTCATGATCTACTCACCTGATTTACCCAAGAAGCGGGTTGTGGTTGGTATTGAATATATGTATGCAAGAATTTTAATAATTGTTACCAATGGTATGCGCTGAAACTTAAGTTTTCAAGCAAATTTTCTTTTTTTCGCCACCCGTTTGTAACGGTTTTCTTCGAATTTTTTTCTGGTTAAGTAGGGGCGAGTGTAACGGTTTCACCGTCCGATCGTATTTATTAAATCACTTCTCGATTATCATTTCAGAATCGCAAATCATTAATCCCATCTCTAGCTTTTTTTGCTTGGAAAATTTTCCGCTTGGAGCGCTTGATGCGGAGTTCCTGTTCTGCGATCTTCCTCGCGCTTCCTTTTCACTTGAGCCGCCGATCGAACAAGAGCTAAGCATTTTCTTCTCTGTAGCACAAGGTCATATAGCACCATGTGCTAGAATTTTGTAGAATGTGTGTCCGTATAGGACAAAATGATTGGGGCCACCCCCTTTCCCTTTCCCTTTCTCTTTCCCTTTCTCTTTCTCTTTCCCTTTCCCTTTGCCTTAGTCTTTGACTTTGCGTTGCTTGGCCTATCACTTCACCCATGCATGTGCCTTGGCAGCGCCATCGCCTTTAAGTTCAACTTCGCCTACAACTGATTATGAAGCCACTATATGTGAGGTCACCCCTCACAACTGGGACCTCCACTTCAAGCATCCTAGCTTCAGTCGAGTCAAAATGGACCAGCGAAAGATAAGTTGATAGTTTTATAGCAGCGCCAAAGATGTAAAACTTATTTTGTTCTTTAAAACTGTAAAATTGCAATGTAATGAAAATGCTTTTTTTATTAAATAAAATCTGTTAAATTTTTGTGTTCTGTTTGTTCTTCTATCCTCTAGCCATGCCATGGTCGACACACAGCTACACGCCTGTAGATGTCTTCATGCCACCGACTGAGCTACCGGAAGCTAATGCTAACCCCCTTTCTGTGATTGTACAGAAAAGTTGGAATCTTTATTGCATTCCATCTTTTCTGGACTTTTTGCGGAAAGGAAGCGTTACATAAATTGGCACCCGCAACGTGAGGCATCGATTGGTGTTTGGCTTTGTCGACAAGTGGTTTGCTAGTGGAAGATTGGCAGACAGAACATAGTTTTCAAAATTCTTTACAATTTTTGGCAGCATTTCTATTTTTAATTGCTTTTGGTACTCAAATTTCTAATTCTTTAATCATCCTTACTTTTTGCTTAATGTTTAAAATTTTTCCACCTGTTTATTTCATAGGCATACTATTAACTTTTAAATTGTCTTGTTTAGTAGTCAGCGAGATCATTGCCAGAATTTTTTTTTATCACATACTACTATAGTTTTTATTTACTGCTGGGGACAGTTATAACTTTTTTCTCATTGTAGTTTTGAGATTGATGATATTTTGATAATTTTTTGTTGAATATTGATAGTCTGGGGACTTTAGGTTTCCCAGCATTTTGTCGAATATCATTAAACTTTTGATTGAGGTTGTGACTATTGTTGTTGATAGTTTATATATTCTAATATGCTTTTCATTTTTGATCACTAACCTCTTAGTTTTTGAAAGTATTTCTTCATGTGCAGTTTTTTGATTTCTTGAGACTTTTCATGTATGCATATATAGCCTAATTGTTGGATCTCTGGTGTACTGATATAGCTCTCATGATGTTTGGTACGTAGGAAATTTACTTTCAAAATTATTTTTGCCTTCCCCGAATGTTTTTACTTTTTGAATGTTTGACTGTACTTGAACTATTGATCATTTGTTTTCATTCTGATGGCAATAATCTACTGACTAGAGTTATCTGGAGTAAATCATTTTGCGATTTATCCATTTGTCTGAATTGTATGAAATTGATATTCATAATTTTTCGTACATTTTGGCGGTTTACTTTTTTCAAGTATTGACACTTGGACATAGTGCGTTGATACTTACCTTTCTTTTTTTTTCAAGAAACAAATGATGTTTTTCTTGACTATATTTTTGCTACTTTTCAATGGGGGGTGACTCCTAAATCATTTTTACCTATACAAAGACACACATACTCATTTATGATAATTAAATTTCAACTTGTTGTTGAAATAGTATACGTTCCTCAGTAACTATTGTAGTAATTTTGTCTCTTGTTTGGAGCAAAAGTTTTCATAATTTTAATGTTTTATAGTTTTATCTGGCATATTCTTTGGGGGAAATTAGAACACTAGTGTCTGATTTTCCATTGGATTAACAGGACTTGAACGTCTCTGTACTCTTTTAATGTATGTCAGATATAAAATAATTTTTTTAAGATTTGGCTGCTCGTGTTTTTGTATTGAAACTTTTTGTTTGTATTGTTAGTTTTTTATAGTGTTTTAGATCCTTGTCATTTCTTGACGTATTCAGGTTTTTAACTTTAATTTTTTTCTTTCAAGTGTTTCTTTGAGGTTTATTTCTCAATCATGGTTCAGTCTAGACTAAGCCCAAATGACTTATTAAGTCATGAACTCCACTACGAGATTCATATCAGAGGTTTGGAAGTCCCTAATATCGTGGAGGATAAACGTAAAGTTTTACGTGGCTTATTAGCACAGGAATTTCAAGGGCGTAGTTTCTCAGAACCTTCTGTGACTATTCCTTTTGATGAGGATGGGACTGGGATAAGACTCTCATTCAATAAACTCACTGAGATGATCTCTAGAATTACTGGTGCATTTGATTCTGTTGAACATCGCAGAATTTGTGTGCGCTTATTGCATCTATCTGGTAGGATAGATCGAATGTCTCCTACTTGTGATGAGGAGATAAGTACAAAATCTAGATTGAAGACACAACTTGTTGTGTGTGAATCTGATCTTTTAGAGAAGCTTCAGATGCCATCTGCTCAATCATCTCCTCCATCAGTTTCATCTCCTCCTATTCCATTGACATCAAATCCGCCTGTGACTGTTGCTAATCCTCAAGTATTTCCTCCAGTACATACACAGCCACTCTCTCCTATAAATTTTGCTCCACATAAAAAGATACCAGTTTTCAAATGGGGAATCAAAAAATTTTCTGGAAATAGCTCAGTTATTGAATTTCTAGAAATTGTCGAATCTCTAATGTCTTCCCGTGGATCTCTTTGCATCTGCAGGTGATCTCTTTGAAGATGTAGCCTGGACATGGTGGCATAATGGCCATCTAATAAATAGCTTTCATGATTGGCAGGACTTGATTAAACAACGGATGCTTTTCTACGTGACAATTATGGTATGAACCTAATTGATGAGATTCGTAGACGCAAACAAGGTCAGCATGAACATGTTACGATCTTCATTTCGTTCATGGAATCTCAATTCGATAGATTAACCTACAATACATTTACAGAAAAGGACATGGTCAATATTGTCCGTAGAAATTTATTGCCTGACTTCATAAAGTCACTTGCTCTTCATGAAATTTCCACTTTTCCTGAACTAACATCACTTTGTAGGAAATTAGAGGATTCCTTCTTGACTTGTCAACCCCACAATAGACTTTCCACTTCCAGCTTGGTTACTTCTGATAGTACTCCATCATCTCACAGAAAAGCTCCTGTATGTTGGAACTGTGAGAAACTAGGACATTCTGTTCGAGACTGTAGAGCTCCTAAGGCTGTTTATTGCTATACCTGTGGTATGAAAAATGTCACACGCTCTAATTGTCCTTCCTGTTCAAAAAACGTGAGGCAAGAAGTTTCCAATCCGACTCCCGGAACTTCTTTCGCCCAGACTCGAGGAGTCATAGACGTAAAGGGCAAAGCAACTCCAGGTCTAATTCTGAAGTCCAACAAATAGCCAAGTTAAGACAACCTTCAGCAATTAATCCCGATTTTGACATTAATCATTCACAACTTGCAGGTATGTCATCAAATGATCATTCAGAACCATTTATTCAATAACCAAATGACAATCGTCCACATCTTTCAATATCCGTTGGTGATGAAAACATTTTAGCTTTGCTTGATACTGGAAGTAATGCCAACATTCTAGGTTCATCTGGCTTATACTTATTACGTAAATTAAATCTCAACATCGATTACAGTAGTACCTTGCAATTAACAACTGCTGATGGCCAGATGCAGAATACTTTAGGTTTTGTTTTGCTGCCAGTAGGTTTTAATGGCAAAGTTCATGTCATTAAATTCATAATAGTTCCTTCCATTACACACACATTACTT